GTCTTTATTAAAATGAATATTGTTTCTAATAGGCACCAACAATATGTGGAACTGTAGATCAAGTATAACTGATTATGTACATGTAGCCGTGAGTTTACTATGAGCAGACACAGTATATCTTTAGAGGGACGTGAGTCTTACCGTCTCTGGGAACAGGGGCAGAATCCTCTGGAACAGACTCTTCCTCAACTTTCTTCATCTCGGCCTCCATCTCTGAAACAATGACAAAGCATTTCACATCAGCTACATTGAATCACAACTACTTAACCTAAGGATGTACGGAAAAACATAATGTCATCAAACGGACACAAGATGAACTAGACAGGCTCTATGAGGTGGAACCCACATGCTAACGTTAGCATGTTAACATGCTCAGAACGACAATGCTAACATACTGATGCTCAGCATGCATTTTCACCATGATAACCATTTTAGTTTGCCTGTTAAGGTATTTTACTAACATTATAAATCTAGCACACAACTGAGGCTGATGGGAATATTTCTGTACCTCCAATAATGCTGTAAGCGTGAAAGTACATACAGGTTACACTTCCAAGTTTCCCGTATGCCACAATTTGACATTCAGTCTTGAATTATGATGGTTACTTTTATCTTTCAGTGACCACAGCTCACTATTTAACTTGACAGAATCTGAAGGAAAATAACCCAAATGTTCTCTGATATGTCAGATATATAAAGTCAGTAACAGCTGGATTCTACAGAGGTCCTCTCCAGGAGCCTGCCTGTGATGCTTAGATATCATGAACCAGAGCAGCTGTAGTTGTTGACTGCTCCGTCCTGCAAAGGGAACCGCTGTATGTCAACATGTGTCCTTGGATTCTAATCCAACACAACTATCTTGTTCTGTTTTGATCCATTATTTAGTTCACTTTCTAACATGGCTGTCAGATTGCAGGAGGTGAAACCTGAAATAAAAAGAGGACACTAACCAGGTGCAGGAACCATCTGCTCCATCAGGGCAGCCACCGCTGCTTCTGTGGATAAATCACATTCATGTTGGTGTGAGAAACATTTAGGACTGTGTGTGTGTTCCAAAGCAAAGCCCTTCAGTACTGACCTGGAGCCTTCTCTTTGTGTTCAGCTGGAGCTGCAGAATAAAACACAACACTGTCAGTAACATTAGTGCCCTAGTTACTCTCCTCCCTCACAGGGTCGTGTGCTGATGACTCATCATGAGCACATGTGTGATGGTGTGTGCGTTCTGTCTAAAAGCTGACCTGCAAATGCAGAACAGAGGAGAACTGAGAGGACCACGACAATCTTCATGGTTATGAGCAACTGGTTGTTCTGTGTGGAGAAGAAAAAAGTGCAGATGAAGATCCGGAGGGAGAGCAGAACCACGAGCTTCACTGAGGAACAGAAACACAGCAGGTGTCTTACCTGTCAGGTAAATGTGAGGAGAAGTTTTTCAGGAGTCAGCTGAGTGATGCAGTGATGAGGATCAGGCCTCCCTGCTCTTTATACACACACCTGAAACACACAGCTCATGTGGGCGGGTCGAGTGTTTGTCTGTGACTCAGTCCGGTCGGCGGGAACATGCAGTGTGCCCATAAAGATATGAACCATAACTCTGATCTGTTTCCTGACAGCAGCAGGTCAGCAGTTTGCCCTGCAGTGTTGTTGTGAGCTCAGGTTAATGGGTTAACCAAATCAAACCGGGCCCGATACCAACACTCAAAGTGTGTGTGTGTCAGGTGTGTGTTCTGCTATTATATTTGAAAAATGACTATACTATTCTAAACTATACTGAGGTAAAATACAGAAGTACAAGCAGCAACATATACTTTAAGTATCCTGTGTATGAAAGTACGAGTATTCATCATGTGTTCTCCGGAGGAATGGCCTCTGTGTTAATGCATCACACACATGATATTATTGCATTCATATTTGGCGCTGTAAAGGATGCAGCCCCAATGTTTCAGCCCTACTATGGAGAACCAAGAAACTTACTCAGCAGAGCAGTCCAACCTGTTTCTTTTTATTTAGGATCAATTTTGAAACAACTAAAATACATTACAAAACAAAGGGGCTTTATTGGCATGACCACATATTACACATAGTATTGCAAAAGGATTCCACACAATG